GTTGGCCAAAGGGTACAACATTTCAGTTACACAAGAGGGATGACACAGTAAGTATTTTAGGTGATGGATATGTTAACAAGTGTGACCCACAAATTCCACATTGTATATATATATATATCATTGTAGTTATATCACTGTGTACCCCATAAATATATACAATTATAATTTGTCAGTATCTAATTTTAAAATTTTTTAAAAAGAGTGCATTCTCTCTTTAAATATTCTCCATTCTCTCTTTAGATATATTTTTTTTTTTTTGGAGAGGTTTTAGCCCGGCGTGAGTTTTAAGCCACCAGGTCCGGGACGTGAACCACGGTCGACTACGTGGGAGTCCAGCGACATAGCCATTACACTAACTGCTGGTTCCCTCTTTAGATACTCTTAAGGGATCATTTAATAAGTTTTTTTTTTTTAATTTAATTTGACTGGGGAGGGAGGAGTAAGAAAGTAAACTGCCAGGTCCAGGACTCAGCCCAGGACTTGAACTCTAGTCAGCCATGTGGGTACCTTAACCAGCCACCTTAACCACCATGCCACTTGCTGGCCCCATAAGTTTCTACTTCAATAAGCTGAAAGAACCCATGTTAACTTCCAGGAGTGACTGATTTAATTCCTAAAAATTACTCATTTTATCAATAGACAAAATGCTCCTAGTCATTTTCCTACAATAAAATATATAGGAAAATATATATAAATAAATAAATAAGCAGCAACCACAGACAGTGAACACACTCACACCACTGTTACGAGCTGCAAACTAATTCCACTTGCTTAGTTACGTGGCCATTCAACTAGTACTCTCTCCTGTAGTGTGAATCTTTTTTTTTTTTTTTTTTTTTGGAGAGATTTTCGCTATAGGGCGCGTGCGCTCGGCACTTGTGTTCCCAGAGAGAGACAGAGAGGGAAAGTGAGAAATCACCCACCCCCCAAGGTAATGACCACGCCATGATCCCTTCTCCATTCTCAGGATTTTGGCCATGCACACACGCGTGCCTGGTGTGGTTTTCAGGCCACCAGGTCTGGGGTTCCAACTGCAGCTGGCCACGGCCTTAACCACTATGCCACCTGCTGGCCCTATGGTTCGAATCTTTTTGTGATAAAGGTCAGTTATTAACCAATAAGTAGAAGATATAAATCCAGAGCCACGAATTCACTACAATTTCTTTGTTTGTTTGTTTGGATTAAGAACATGTCCATATTATCAGATCTTTGTGCCTCTCGAATCTGAATTCGGGCAGCACAAGAACCCTCTCTGGCCTTCAGCAAATCTGCCCAGCCCTGCTCCCACATACCAGCGTCCAAAAGCATCACGAAGCTGTCACTGCCATCACTGTCCACCGAAATCCGGTCTTCGGGGCCACTGCTATCCAGTGAGACACCGTCAAATGATTGCTGAGAGACCGTCCTCTTCATGGAGAAAAAGCGGAGTCGGGCGGCACCTCCACTCACCGGGGCAGCCGCACTCTCCTCGGTCTTGGCCACTGGCTCCCTGTTTAAAAGGCAAAAACAAACCCACAGATGTGGCTTCAGACACCCGTTTGTCCCCACCCTGACCCTCCCCTTTGGCTCAGTTATTGTGAAATTAAACTTTGACATCAATTCCTGGCTTTTCTGAATACTCTTATTCTTTTTTTTTTTTTTTTTTTTTTTTTTTTTTTGGGGGTTTTTTTTAGGGGGGGGGTGTGTCG